TCAAAATCCCTTTTCTATGATCCTTTGGAATCAACTGGGAATTTCCGACCTGTATAACTTAACGTAAATCAGACCATGTTCCTTTCATGAATGTACAGAGAAATCAGGTGCTTTTACTAAATAGGAGGGGGCATGAATTTATTTACTTATTTATTTATTTACTTATTTAATAATAAATCTTATTTATTTTATAAAGGGAGAGGTATTAAAACAAAGGTAGCAGAAAGGAGAGAAGAATGTCCAAAACACAGCATTAAGAAAACACTTTCAAAATTGGGAATCTAGGCATTTGTCCTTGAATTTATTACCTCCTTGCTCATGCAATTCAAATGAGAATATGCATCATTTCTAAATATCAATAACAACTGTGTGTAGAAGTTTTATTACAGTTTACAGATAACTTTGGCTGTTGGCCACACCAACTTACGTGAATTATATGGTTCATAGAGTTTTTATCATCAGTGCCAATAAAAAAATTAATAATGACTTTTTTCCCGTATTTAGAATTCAGCTGTGCAATAGCTTTCTCAGCTGTCCAAGAAGAACCTAAAGCAATGAGAGGTGAAGTGTATATTAGACACTTTAGTGCATTAATATGGTACTATAATATAATGACAAATTTTATATGGAAATTTTTTTTTAAAACAAGGAAAATAGTCTTACCGTATGTTTGCTCCCAGTTTTCTGTTGCCACTGGCCAATCATATATATCAGGTAACAGTCTGAGTAGAGGTTCTCCGCCTCTGCTATCAATAGCAGCTTTTGAAAATAATGAATATAAATGTATTATGAAGTCTATGCATATTTTGGAATACCCCTAATAAAATCAAATGAAGAGCACTTACATTCATTTATACAAGATCTATACAACATTTTTGCTTTCTGCACTGCTACTATATCTTCAGCTTTGGGTTCCTGAAGGACATCTGAAATAGGGTATTGAGAAAATCCATCAATATAATTGCTCATTTGCAGCTGTAATTAACATTTTCAATGCAGGTTTGGTAAAAACCTGCTTTTTTGTATGTCTGTTCACACTTCTCTCATTCCAAAACCCTATAGGAAAAATCAAGCTCCTCACCAGATCATTATTCCTAGTGCAGAACTGGGAGTCAGTTTCATTAGCCAACTTAGATGAAAGTCTTTTTGACTAGATTATCTTTTTTTGTGAACAGTGATGTGTGCTGCGCTGCCACAGAGAAGTTACTTTTTTTGAAATTGAGATTAAAAGGAAAACAAATACTATAGAGGAATTTAATATGACAGTCTTCTTGATGGTTGGAAAATAATTATCTTTGTGCAATAGTACCATTCATGCTCCAGATGAACTGAATGAACTGTTCTATTTGTTTGGTTATTACAAAATAGCAAAAAAAAATTTTCTTTTACAAAGTAACTTCTAGAAGATGAGAACAAAGAATGGAGGATAGCAAAGGACTAGACACAACTTTCTCAGCTTCCCAGGCAGAGCGTCTCAGCTGGGTTAGAACAGATAAACATACTCTGGGAGGCAAATCTTAGGAACGTCTTGTAGCAACTTGAACACAAGGCCAGAATAGAAAGAACATGCAAGTGGCATTCAGGGGCAATCATTTAACTTCTTCTTCTGTACAATGGCATAAAGATGCCACCTCTGAGGATAATAGAGCTTTATCGTGTACACCTAAAATGAAAGCAGGAATGCTAAGAGAAGCCAGCATATCCCTTTCAGTGTCCACCACCCTCAGAGCGACCCAGTGGTGGTCCACAGAACTTGGGGGGATTATCAACTTTAATCTTTTGCCACACTCCCTGTAATGGCCTAGAGTTGTATCTCAAAAAATTGCTATATTAAGAGAAATCTCTGATGCATAAACACAAATCCCACTAACCTTTCAAAACGACTTCCAGTTCATCTCTTAAAATGTCAAAGTTACTGTAACGGGAGCTGGTCTCAGGAATGACGTTGCGCTTCAACCAGCCTCCGCAGGCGTATTTGAAAAAGTCTGTACAAGGCTCAACAGCCGCATCCATGTTCTGGATCAGCCGAGCGGCTGAAAGACCAGAGAAAGTACAAGATAAAATGAAGGGTATACGCAGTTTGGAAGGGGATACAAAGAGACATGTTGCTTCTTCTTTCTGATCAAGTCAAGTAGACTGATGCTCCGTTTTTTTCACCTGTATAACTGTCAACTCAGGTGGAATGGCAAATACTACCTGTGGACAGTTCTCCCTCCTTTACTGTAGTTGGTTGCTTTTATTCTTGAGAGGTCTACATTTCATCCCCTCCTTTAAAGAACTGAGGTTCTTGCTAGTTCCTATCTCAGATGAGAAAAAACAATACAGGTCTGCTTTAGCCTTCCCGGGCCGGGCGTTAACACAAGGTTACTCTTCACTCTGGTAACTTGAGCTGCTGAC